GACCTGAGCCAAAGTTGGACACTTAACCGGCTGAGCCACCCAGGTGCCCCAAGGACGACATTTTCTAAGACAATAACAATCCTGTCAGGGTCCTGGAATAATGTTTAGTTCCTAGTATCAAAGATAAGTTACTTGGGAGTGTCCGGCTGGCTCAGTCTATGGTGCATGTGACTCTTGATCTTGGGGTTGGTTGGTTTGAGCCCCATGGTGGGTGCAGAGATTACTTAAAAATAAAATCTTTAAAAAAAGTAAGCTAATCTGTAGGATGTGAGTCAACTAATCTGTGTTTGAATTTTTAACTTTGATCATTTGAATATTAATTTGAAAAATAAAGTAAACCTCTGAAGAGTGGTTTCTGCATATAGAAACTGCCCCTTAAGGACTTAAAAAAAAAAATCACCTGAACAGTCAGAAAACATTGACCCCATTCTGTAATTAGCACATTCACTGCATGGAATCGGACTTAGAAAAAAAAAAAAAAGTACCTGGATTCTGGAAAGAAAATTGTAAGCCTCAAGTTTAACTGAAGCCAACTGGGTACAGGGGCTTGGCGGAGTGCTTTCTGTGTTTCATATCACTCAATACTCCTCTAAGCCCTTAAGCTATGCTCCCTCCATTTTATAGATGAGCAAACTGAGGTTTGGGCCCAAAGATACACAGCTAGCCCATTGGAGCTGGGGCATGAACTGAGTCACTCGGACTCCAGACCAGCCTTTCCCCCCACCAAACCAGGCACAGCAAAAACCTTAATAAGGAGCAAACACTGTAGGTGAGAGATGGGAAGGAGACCGAAGTAGGACTTTCACTTTTTACTGTAGACACTTGGGTACTGTTTGTTTGTTTGGTATTTAAAAAGAAAAAAAAAGTACTAAACAGCTTTTTATTTTTTTTTAAACCGTTTAAACAATGCCGGTGGCAACATGTGTTCTGTCTTTGTGCAACTGAGCCAAGGAAAGGCAGCTTTCAACTGGCCCCAATAGTCACTGATAACATGGAAAGGTCGGAGTGACCAGGCTGTACTGCAGGCTCAAGGAAAGGAGAAACCCCACACTCGTCCATCCTGTGCTGGGAATTGGGAGTTTTGAAACAGTTCCTTCCAGGAGCCTAGAGCCCGGAGCCCAGAAGGAAAGGCAGACCCTGGCCTGACCAACGATGCACAGTTTGAAGTGTCCTTCCTACTGCCACTTAGTGGCTATGGATGACATTTCCTGGGGCATGTACTTTCAACCACTAGTCTATAAGATGCTTCTAGGAAAAAGGACAAATATATATTACTACTTCTTGGAGATTTATAATGCACATTAGCATCTTAAATGTTCTGAAAAGTTCTGCAATAAGGAAAGCTGCTTCACTGTGCTGAAACAGGGCGTCCTGACTTTATTGTCCACAGAAACTTTTTCTTCATATAATTCCTTTCAATATCTCGAACAATGTCTGCCTTGGGAAATACCATCCTAATGTGGCAGGGACAATCAGGTCCCCTCAAAGCCTTACACCCTCATCTTTGTTAATAAGCCCCTGCTGAAGGGTCCCATGCATGTCATATGAATGGGTAGAAATGAGGATCAGGAGGTCAGACACATGGTCCCAAACATCACTGGGAGCCACAGCCATCCACCATGGACCCTGATGGGACAGGAGTCAGTGCGGGGCAATACACTGGGAAAAAGATGGAAGGCAAGATGGAGATTTCAGGAGGAGTGAACGTGTACAGGCTGAGTAACAGAAAGTAACAAAAGTAGCAAAAAGAAACAAGGGGCT